CGCTCTGTCACTCAGGCTGGAGTGCAGTGGCGCGATCTCCACTCACTCAGGCTCCACCTCCCAGGTTCATGCCATTCTCCTGCCTCAGCCTCCCATGTAGCTGGGACTACAGGCGCCCGCCACCGCGCCCGGCTAATTTTTGTATCTTCAGTAGAGACGGGGTTTCGCCGTGTTAGCCAGGATGGTCTCGATCTCCTGACCTCATGATTCACCCATCTCAGCCTCCCAAAGTGCTGGGATTACAGGCGTGAGCCACCGCGCCCAGCCAAGGTTTAACTCTTTAACTGGGCCAGTTGTGAGCTATTTTGACATGGGTCAGACATTTGTATATATCATTCCATTCCCTCAACAATCCTATGGTATGGTTTATGGACAGAGAAATCAAAATTCAGAGGTTAAAAATTGCCCAATATCTCAAAGATTGTAAGTGATGAACTGGGACGCAAACCCAGACCTTCCTTGCTACAGAGCCAGTGCAAGTGGGGAGGCCGTTCCCTGGGCATGCACTCTTGGGTCAAGGATCGATTTACTACAGGGCTGACCAGTGTCGAGAAGAATCTCAATCACCAAAGGAGGGATGGAAGAAGTGTTGGGCTATCCACTCACTTGGCATTCCTGTATTGAACGTGTTCTATTATAATTAGATGTTGATAATAATAAGAAGAATTTTGGGGCCAGGCTGTGTGGTGGGCACCTTAATAAACTGTCTCCTTTGGTACATGTGCATTCATTTGTAAAGTCTGGGAGAAAAGAAAACTCAGAAGAGTGCATCTCTAAACAAGAGTGAAAGAGGGTATACGAGCAGGGAGAAGGCTTACCAGCCACTCTGTTTACTGGGGCCATTGCCTCCCTACTTTTGAAGTTCATTGGGACCAAGCGCTTATCATCCAAACCCAGTCAACATCTGATCCACTTTTATGAGTATGCATGCCTCACTCTGAGAGTTCCATATGGCCAAGAGGGGCCCCTGACCTCTCAAATCATCTCCTGATTTTTAGTATTCCAAGTAACTTTTGTCTTGCTAATGATTTTCCCCAAAAATTAAAGTTACTTAGGAAGGTCTATATTCCGGTGCTGCTGTCTGCAAAACTCTGAGATAGTGAAACGACTCTGTTTCTCAGTTCTATGGAGTTATTTAAGTCCGTCTAATTCTCTCTTTATCATCTGGATAGACAAAAGGAAGAAAACCTTTCCACCTTCCTGTAGGAGAAGGAGATAAATCCTCTTTCCAGCCTTGGAGGTAAAATACCCAACTGTATTGCATTGCTTTCCTTTCTCTGTCTCTCTCTCTCCTTCCCTCTCTTCCTTATTCTTCTAGCAATTTGAAGTTTAAAAACAAAGGGGATAGGGGCTATTTTATTACCTTGGAAGTGGAGGCTACAATTAAACACTAGAAATCCTCATAGATAAATCTATAAATGGTCATTTAATGGTCACACAAAGCAACATATTCAGAGTGTGAGAAATTAATATATATGATAGGCTATAAACATGAAAGGTGAATGATTTTATTTAAAAATAACTTTTAACAAGGTGTAGTAGGGTGTGAGAGCCTTTCCAGGTCTACAGCATTAGAATCTTACCCTGAAAACAAGCCTGAATCAGGTGTTCACAGGAATAAATAAAAAAAATTAAAGGAAAGAAGGGAGAGAGAGAGGAAATGAAAACCAGTGGGATGACTGCAGAGATTCACTGCAGGGCTTGATCTTCATGATAAAATATTTCTTCTGTAGACT